CTCAGCAGTAACATGGAGAAGATGCTTTTCTTTGCTGTCCTGCACAGCAGGACAGAGCAAGGCATCATATGAGGAGTGGTCCCCGCACCTCTATTTCAGTTATGCAAATGTGATAGGATCTGCTCACAAACAGTGTACTCTGAGCAATCCTCCATGAAGAAAAGCAAAGCCAACAAATCCAGAAGAGTTAGCATGGGGACACCTAAGAGTGTATTTCAGTGTTGCTTGGGCTACTTCCTGCAGCACCTTGCTTTGATTGAGTATGGCACTGGGCTGCTTGTGTTGGGCCAGAGCTTCTGGAAGCGGCAACAGTTTGCGAGAGTGGAGGGGTGAAGCAAGGACTCCTGGGAGCATGGAATGCCAGTGTGCTGGCCCACTCGGGCCTTGATAAATATTGCATGATGGCGGTGATACCTTTTTGTGTGATATCATTCATTGTTTCAATAATTAATGTTACCAGGGCATATTTCTGTGAGTACCAAAGGTAAATAATTTACTGTAATTGCCAAAGAGAAGTGACATGACTAATTTATCAGACTTTTAAAGAAAGATGGCCCTTCATGGAAAATAAGCTCAGGGCCTCGACTGTAAGAACTGTAGCTCATTCCCACCACCAACACACTACAAAGCAGCAACATTTTACCCTCGTCTAAAGGGTGATAGACTGTGGTCTTCAGAACTATCGTGAGGAGTGAGGAGCGGGTGCCAAAAGCCACCCTAAACCTCACATTTAACCTTCGCTTGGCTGGCAGAATGGTTTATTGCTATTTTGAAGGAAGAATCTTTGTTCCACGAACTCTTATTGGACTAATTACACTTATGCCCACTGGATGTGCCCTTTCTTGTTGGATGCGGACAAGTTGTTCCTTGTTTATTTTTGCATTTTCCTAAGCCCATGACAGTGACTGGCATATAAATGTTCTACAAGTTATTTCTCAATTTAATTTTTGGGCTGTTTTTTTAAAAAATCTGCAATGCACAGCAGGTTTTTAAGTTTAAATTTTAGTATTATGTAAAAGATGCAGAGGAAAGGTCATAGGTATACCTGATAGGGAAAAAAACACAATCCCCGGTGTCCCTGCAGTCCTTAGCTCTTCCTTTCCAGGGACAACTGCTTTGAAGACCTTTCTATGACTCATTCTGTTTCCGAGTCTCTAAATGTCACATGTAGGCTAAGTGACATTAACCTTTTGTTGACTTGGCTCCACCTCAGGAGTCGGTTACTGACTGCCCCAAAAGGAAGGTAAAGCTCTGAGTCCTCCCAGGACCCTTTCCTCTGCGTGCGCATTTCCTAGCCTTTTATTTCTCAAAGCAGTTGCGTTTGTTGTTGCTGCTGCTGTTGTCTAAGTGCTTAGAGCTCACGTTTTGCCTTTGGAAGTGTTGTTCATAGATACTGCCTGTGTTACAGTTTACTCTTCAGCACTTTATTTGCCCTAAAATATTGTCACTTACTTGGTGTTCTCTGTACACATGACAAGTCCACCCTCCAAGCTCTGCCCCCGCACACTTCTCTCAGTCTGCTCACACTCACCCTCTTCACTCTTCTCTCTGAGCATTCTCACTTGTCAAGTCCTCGAATGCGCCCTGCACATGGACCCTCTCAGCTCTTCCTGCGTCACCATGCAAATCCCCTCTGTTGTCTCCTGGGTTGGGTTTCATGGTGGTGGTGGCAGCTGCTGCTGCTCCTGAGGCTCCTCTTCCCCTCCCCTCCTTCTCCCTCTTCTTCCTCTTCATCTTCTTTAAAGGGAAGAGCTTACCGCTCATTTGGATGGAGTCTATCTTTCAATATTTTTTGAGGTTTTACGTACCAGAAAATATAAATATATTTGCACCCTTGGCTTGGCTAGCTACAGAATTCTGAGTAGGAAATCATTTCGTCTTCCTGCAGTGGGAATCGAGCTGCGGCCTTTGCTGTCACTTTTGCTGTTAAGTGTGGCAGAAGGACACCTCAGAGTATGACAGTCATCAAGCCTGTTGCTCAGTGGATTTGTTTTACCCTGGAAACTCAAGTCTGTAGTGCTAAGAACGCTTCCAGAGTAGTTTCCTTAGTGTTTGTTTGTTTGTTTGTTTGTTTGTTTGTACTGGAGATCAAACTCAGGACCTTGTGCTTGCAAGCAAGCACTTATGCTGCTGAGCTATCTCCCTGGCTCTAGAAATTCTTTTTTGGAGGAGGAAGATTTGAACTTTTCTCTCCCACCCTTTTAAGTTTCTCCTTATAGTTGCTTTTATTTCAAGGTAAATGTTAAAATACTTTCTGAAGATTTTTTCCTCAATTTTAAAAAATAATAATCAGTTGTTTCATAGGCATAAAGACGTCATCTCTCTCTGGATTGTAATAAAAAATTTTAAACTTCTATTTGTCCATTTTCTCCGTATTGTGTTTGCCTGTTTGTTTCTCACATTGGATGCTTTTCTCGGCTGCCTGGTAGCCCCGGGCTGTCCCTCATTGGCAGTCTCACTGGGGCTCTCTGTGTGGCGCAGGCTGTGCGGGCCGTGACTTCCAGAGGAGCGTGGAACCCTTTAGTGGGACGTTCCGGTGGGGAGGTCAGAGGCCTCAGAGACGTCTCACTTGCTGCCTAGCACCTCTCTGCCCCTGACGGTCTGTCCCTGGGAGTCTGGAAAGGAAGCAGCTCTGGCCCGAGCACCCCCGGCTTGCTCTCTGAGTTCCCACTCCAGCACACTGTCACCCTCTGGCCTCTGCCCGACTCCATGCTTCTGTCTTTAGCTGGGCTTGTTGGTGATGCTGGGGAAGCTGAGACTTTAGCCATGGGTTTGTGCAGTGCCAGTCCCTTTTTAAATACTCTTTTAGCCAATCCTTTTTTTCTGCTGATGTCTTTTCAGTTAGTCTCCCTGCCCCCCCCCGTGTGTGTGTGTGTGTGTGTGTGTGTGTGTTAAGTACTTGACTCTTGACTGCTGGCTTACTGTGGTGTTGTTAGAGGGAAGTCTTTATCAGGAAAAGAACTGAAATTGTTTTGGCTTCGTTCTGTGAGATGGTGCTTTTCATCAGACTTGAAGCATCGCTAGCCTTTATCATTTGAAGTGCCCCTCTGTTTTGCTCTTTTCTAACCCTACTTCTGAGCTACAACTCAGACATACGGCAGCTCCATCCCTGTGTTGCCAGTGTCCCATTCTGTTTTCCTTTTTTTAACCTATTTTCCATTGTGTGTATTTTTCTGCACATAGTAACCCTGTTTTCCACTGTCTAAGTCAAGATCAGGTGTCATGGTTTGACTTGGACAGATACATGTGATTCTCATGTTTATTCCAGTGTTGTGGATTCTCTTTTTGTCTTGCCCCCTATTTTCTTAGGCACATGCGTCATAGCCACCACAAGCATAGGTACTGTTAGCTCGCCTCAAAATCTGAATGACCTAGGAGTCCACCTGGAAAGCCTGTCAGAGTAAATAAAATCTGAAAGGTACAATAGATACTGTGAAAGGCAAAGGGATTGTTCAAAAGGAAGGAACAAGTGGGAAGAGGGAAGGGAGAAAAGGAAGCAAGAAGGAAGGGAAAGATGTATTGTGTATGCGTGCAGGATGGCTTGGTAACTGCACTGCTGATTTCTACGGATTTAGCGAAAGGAGCAATTGATGCTTCCATTTTTCTTTCTCTCTCCTTTTTAATTTTTTATAACTTTTTTTGACTGATTCTGCATGCTTGTATCTGGTAATCTGAACAACTAATTTGAAGGCAACAATATGCAATAGAACAACCATTGTTGAATTCCTGTCATTTTATGTAGTGGAATTCTGTATTGTTTCTACGGTTTGTTTTACTATTGTTCTCTTTAAAAAATAAAACGATGAAAGAGAGAAAGAGAGAGAGAGAGAGAGAGAGAGAGAGAGAGAGAGCGCACGAGCACGCGCAAGCGGCTGGCTATCCCGTTTGGTTTAGTTTTGCCTTTCTGCTTTGTTCACACAAGAAACTGTAGCCTTGCCAAGTGGCTACATTCCTCTGGAGACAGGTCACCTCCCGCTGGTAGGCCAGCAGAGAAGGTGAATTTACATAAGTGCTGTGTGACAACTGATTGCGCCACTGGAGCTTCAAGAAGGTGATTTTATCCAGTCCAGACTTTCTAAAGGAGGCCAGCTTCTGGCCTCAGTACGTTCAGACAGCGGGTTTGTCCTGACCCTTCAGCACCCTGATTTGAAGTCCTGCTGTGAACTTTAACTCCACTTTTCCTTGCAAGTTCTGAGCCCTGGAATCAGTTTCTCAGGGAACTTCCCAGGAGTTCCACTGCAGTTCAGAGGGATCTCTCTGGTGGGCTTTCAGCGTCCTGTTCTGCACAACCCTGGGATTCAGCAGATGTTCTTAGTGGGAATAGCTCAGAGCCATTCAATCCTTACCAAAAATCTCCTGCGTTTTCCTTTTCTTAGTATTGGTCCCTGTTAGATACAAAGCCCAAGTGCTGCCTGCACTAGTAAAGGACAAACGTCCCCAAGTTACAAATGCTAACTGTCCCACTTCCCCAGTAGAGGTTTTTCAGTTCTCAGGCCTCTACTGCCCTCTGCCGACGCCAGACACGGGTCCTGTATTTTCTCTGACTGACTTGACAGGAGTCTTCGTTTGCTGCTAGGAGCTGTCTCACCTGGAAGCAAAAGTTGTACTTTTTATTTTCACTTTGAGAATAAGGAAAAGATTTTGCAGTTATTGTAGGATTAATTTAGACCTCGGTTGAAATTTGGAAATAGTTCCGTGCTATTCCCTTCACCATGCAAATTGCTTTACAATGCTTTAAGATGTTGAAATAACAGAGACTGTTCAGCTGCTGTGGGAATCGCAGCAGTGTTTTTCATTGCTCATGAGCGGACTTTCATGGAGACCTGCAGAAGAGAAATTTGAAATTATTAACTTTGAATGTCAGTCTACCTTGATTTTTAGAGAAGTACAGCTCTATTCTCTCTCTGTGTGTGTGTGTGTGTGTGTGTGTGTGTGTGTGTGTGTGTGAAAACAGCAGCTTGTGTGTGACGTAGTGACAGGAGACACTGTTTTCTTTTCAGCACCTAACGTTCACAAGGGAACTGGATTCAGATTCTCTTAGACATTATAGCTGGGCTGCGGACACCCTGGACAATGTGAACCTTGTCTCAAGCCCGGTTCATTCTGGGTAAGTAACCTAAATGTCTTTTTTTGTCCTTTTATCCTGCTACATTAACATTGCATTTATTATTTGTAGCTCTAAATCCATTTTCACAGGTTTTATACATGAACATATGTTCATTGGTATGGGCTACATGCGTACATAAATCATTAAATACACATTTTTAGGCAAATCTGTGTATCTTTTTATTGCTAAAAACAATGTTGGGAAAATTAAATTATTGGCACAGCAAAATTCCTTTCTCTTCTGATCTTCTCTTAAGTTTTTAATTTTCATTTTCAATTAAAACAGTTTTTAAGCTGTTTAAAGCACTCATTTTTCTTTAGTTTACTTTGCTGGTCTGATTAATTCTTTTCTAGGTGTCTGATTTTTCTTCCCCCAAAAAATTAAATATGTAATTCTGTTAATTGACCTCATTAGCTGGCTTGCTGATTTTGTGCTTCATATCTAATGGTAGAAAAAAAAAATCAATCAAATATTTTCTTTTTTAATAGCCATTAAGTTCCAGCATTCTCATCCTGTTTGGGGCGTGATGGTAGGGCCAAGGTTGAATCTGGAGGAACCCTACCACTGAGCTACGTGGCCAGTCCTTTACTTTCTTTTTTTTTTTTTTTTTCAGTCCTTTTCATCTTGAGACAATTTCAATAAATTTCCAGGGCTGGCCTTGAACTCCCAATCCTCCTGCGTCAGTCTCTCATGTGCTGGGATTACAGGTGTGAACACCACACCTATATTCTCATGCAATACAGGCCTATCATTTGACTGACAATGTTTTATTTACTTTTCCTGAAAAAAAAAAAAAA